TACCCTGCTTCAGCCTCTGCGTGCCATGTGATGTGTACTCTGCTTCAGCCTCTATGTGCCATGTGATGTGTACCCTGCTTCAGCCTCTGCGTGCCATGTGATGTGTACCCTGCTTCAGCCTCTATGTGCCATGTGATGTGTACTCTGCTTCAGCCTCTGTGTGCCATGTGATGTGTACCCTGCTTCAGCCTCTATGTGCCATGTGATGTGTACTCTGCTTCAGCCTCTGTGTGCCATGTGATGTGTACCCTGCCTCAGTCTCTGTGTGCCATGTGACATGTACCTTGCTTCAGCCTCTGTGTACCACCTGCCTCAGCCTCTGTGTGCCATTAAGGACCAAATGTGACGTGTACCCTGCCTCAGCCTCTGTGTGCCATGTGACGTGTATCCTGCCTCATGCCCTCTGCTTTCCATGACGTGCTCCCGATTGCTGTGACCCTAATTAATTTTTGAAGATGGACTGATGGATGAGAAAATCCCCGAGATTAATAACAGCAGCTCAATATAGGAAACATCAAATGAGTCAGCATTGGTGTGATCTGAGGGCAGCTGATCAGCCAGTCAGTGCTGAATGGGACTAACAGCAACAATTAAACATACAGTAGGGGCTTTAATGTAAAAATATAAACTAGCAAACTAACCAGCTAAGCTGCCAGTGCCATTCATTTAAACCAAAGTACCCACCAATCAAAAGTAAAAATTGCCTGTCTGCAAACACTAGATGCATAAGAAGAAGCTTATTAATGTAAATAAAAATAATACAAATCTTGACACAGAGCTTTACACTATTGTAAGGCTGAAGGAAACTATATACTAATTAGCATGGTTCAAATAAAAATACACTAATTAGATTTCAAACCTCATTAACTTTATAACTTACAGAAAATTAGTAACACAAACCTAGGCATTTACAGCAAGCACGTGAATAAATTAACAGACATTATGATTAGCTTGATGTGCTTGGATAGCGCTCTCGCAGAAACCCTGCACATTCACCCCCTGGAAGGTAAATAGCAGCCTGAGGTTCGTCCCTGCTGGCTGCCTTCTACTCTGAAAAGAAGGAATCTGTTTCAGCTCACAAAGGCACAGGTATTCGCTGTGCTCCCTGAGCTGTTCCCGGTTGCCCCTTTTCTTCTTCCTCTGTCCCTCCCTCGCGCTCTTTGTATTTACAGCGTGTCCCTTTGCCCACTGGGACACGGCTGCCCGGGGGCTCAGTCCGGATCCACAGGCTTTGAACACATCGCCTTTCAAATGTTCTCTTCTTCCATGTGTTGAATCTTTGAGAGCCGCTCAGTAGAATGTGGGACGCTGATGTCGGAATCCAATGTGCCTGTAGGTCGCAGTATGTTGTACCTTTTAGGGACTTTTTTGCTGGTCTGTGGCTGCTTTTCAATCAATCCAGTATCCATCTGCCACTTTATACTTCTAGGTGTGTGTGTGTGTGTGTGAGAGAGAGAGAGAGAGAGAGAGAGAGAGAGAGAAAGAGAGATCTGGGTAATGCAAAAGCCATTTTTTTCTTACGAAACAATGCAGCAATCCTCAGTTTGCCCAGAGCATCGCTTCTGGTTCCAGTGTCACATTCCTGCAAGCACGATGTCCATGCTGACATCCAAAATAGTTCTCCACCTAAGAAATAATGAGAAGTTACACAGGTTAGAGGGAAGACAGACAATTTACCCTTTAATTGAGCTGTTGGGAAGCCTCCCACTCAGATTCCCAATTTGACCGGCCTCTAACCGACCCCCACCCTTCTCCTTGTGAGGGGCATGAAGGCTGCATTCACTCCATCGTCTCGCTTTGACATTAGCGACCTTGATGGTACTACGTGTCAGCATCCACTCCCGTTCTTATTCACTTCATTGGTCTTAATCCAAGCCTGAAAGGCTTCTGGGACATTTTCTCCTGACTTCCACTGTCGATTACACAATTTCATGAATAATTTGCTTAACTGGATGTATTAGACAGCGCTTGCAGTCCAAGAAGAAACTGTAAAAATGAGAGCTGAAGAGGCAGACATCCCAGAATAACAGGACCTGGAGAAAGAACGACACAGCCATGGATAAGAGAAAAAAGTGTTAGGGGGAGGGTCATTTGTATCAGCACAAATTTCCTTCTTTGGCAACTATCTGTGGCTTAGGTAAATATTCTGGAGGGAAAAATCAATTAATCTATTTTAGAGATTAAATGCTGTGAAATGACTCATATAAAATCACATCTGGGGTTTTGGAAAATGTGAGTGAAATGGGCCTTGTCAAAGGTGGTTATGGCAATAAGCATCTCATGTCATATTTTCATTATATGTAATAAGTGATATATACATGAATCACAAAGAGTACACGTTTCATACATTGTTCACGGTGGTAAAACACTAATTTCCCCACACAGACCACAATCAACAGGTGAAGCAGTGGTACAGCTGCCCTCATCTGAGCTTCCGCAGTCCTGTCGCATTTAAGCAACATCGCGAAACACACATTTTTAAATAGCGGCAGCTGGTCCCCGTGATGCTACAGATGCATCTGAAATATCACCGTCAAGACATTAATGCTAAATTGCTCCTAAACACATTGCCATCTGTTGTTTCAGAATAAAGCAATTTTTCTTGAGTGCAAAAATCATGAAAATTTCGTCCAAACTGCACTGCAATTGTCCCCACCCGTGGTTGAAAAGATGCAGTTTGTAATGATCGATGCGTTCCGCACAGCAGTGTGAATTAAAGTTACTAGCTGGCCTTGTTTTTTCAACCTTCTGGTAACGAGAATGGCTCACTTGTGTCTAATTTTGCTCCCCTGTTGACATACCTGTGTCCTAGTTTTCCACTTTATACTCATTTTCACTCACTTGGAAAAGGAAGGTCATTCTCCATAGGCTATTTTCCTGTACCGTGAATAATATTCAGTGAATGATATTCAACTAATCGCAGAATTATAGTGGTAGTGTAGTACAATACCATTCAAGAAATTTTAAACATGTAACATTTTAGAAACTCATTTTAATTTAAGAAATACATTTCAAAAGACAGTATACATAACAGAGTTCTTAACCAGCTGACTGGAGCTTTGGTGCTTTTTCACTAAAACAGCTGAGTGAAATCCGTTTTCTGTTACTGCTTACCTGTCAACCACCACTGTAATCAGTGCATGCTCCTTACCCCTTACCTGTCAAGGTGAATGATGTGGAGTGTGGACACAGGAAAGCCAGTGCAGACAATTTCCAGTGGATGCCAGTGACATTATTAAGTAACATAAAAGAAGCTGCTCTCCAGCTGATAAGGCAATTTGTACACGGTCCAGAGAGGCTTTTGTAAATGACTCAAAAGGCTAAGAATCCAGGGGAATATGCAAAACAGAGAGTCCAAGTTGCCCCGTTCCCATCACAAGTCATATTCTGTCTGTAATTGGTGGTTGGACCAGATCACTTTGGGATGTCTTCCCTTTGTGATGCAATACCTCAGAAAAGATCATATAGGGCACAATGTATGCAGCTATTTTGTATTTAGTACAACAAGACAGAGTAGTTGATTTTGGCAGGTGCCTGATTCCTGAACAGTAGGCTGTAATCCTGTTCTTATGATCAGGTAATGGGATACTCCATATGTGGGGACTCTATATATTGTGGGGACTTGAAATGTCCCCACAATGTGATATAAACCTGTTATTTTGAGGTTGTGGGGAGTGGAGACCACCTTTTCAGTCCCCACAAGGGAAAACTCAATTTTATAAAAATCGGTGACTGCAATCAAAAACTTAAAATGCCAGGTCTTACATTTTGTTTGGTGGTAGGGCTGGGTAGGGGTTAATATTGTCACTGTTGGGATTAGGAGCGTGGAGATCAGTGCATGCTCCTTACCCCTTACCTGTCAAGGTGAATGATGTGGAGTGTGGACACAGGAAAGCCAGTGCAGTGGAGTGGAGAGTCCCCACAAAGATATGAATACAATACGTGTGTGTGTCTGTGTATGTATTCAGTACTGGGAAGGTTATTTTTTAAATGTAATAGGATACAGATTACTAGTCACTCAGTTTAAAATGTAATATTAATGTAACTATTTTGTTTAGTTTATCATGCTAAGAAATATTGTCCAGCTCCCTGTTAGACCGCGAACTAATTCCGGGTCACAACAAATCTGTCAACCAACCCCACATCTATACAGGTATTGTATTTTGCAATTTTCGTTTTCATCATACTAAAGAAAACCAAATGACGGGCCTTTTTTCGTTTTCCTAACTTATCTTCAGAATAAGAAACGGGTCGTTTCCCGATTTCGGTTTTTACACTATACAAGGAAAATGCATGGGCCGTCATATACTGTAGCTACACTAGCTCCCCAACACAGCGCATGTTTCTGGAAGCCAAACTTGAAACCACTTCGGTTCTACAACTCACTGTATCTTCGGCAGCTCAAATAATTGCTCTTCCATATAACCACCACTAGGTGGTAATGTTGGCTACACCCTTCCTATTTTTTCTACATTCACGAAACTTATGCATCTGGTGAAACAAACGCAATAGATGGCGGAAAGCTAAATAGCTTGGAGTGGATTAAATGCGAAATATGTACGTGGAGTAATGTACCTGAAACGTGCCATGCTGTCACACAGCAAGATCGCACAGCGTAATCGGGCATGGGCTGGCAGCCAGCCGTCCTCCGGGAGGTACGCGTCACTGGCGGATTTCTCCTCGGCCTTTACTGTGCTGCGCTCACTGGGTGGAGCGGAGCTGCCCTTTTCCCATGGCTCCATGGGAAATGTGATGTGACACCGTGGTGGATGAGAGATCATAAAGCTCGCTGTCCTCGTCAGCTGCCGGGAACAGGGTCCGCTGTTCCGCGCACGCGTGCACGCGCACAGGCTGGACCACGAGCATGCGCGTCACAGCAGCCCAACGGCGGGGCAGCCGGGCGCGCTCTCTCTCTCTCTCTCTGCAAGGCAAAAACTTTGCTTTTAGTCAAAGGTGGCCTTTGACCAAGAGGTATTACAGTCGGGGCGGCCTGAGGCAGAAGAACACGGAGGAGAAATCTATTAGCCTGACAGCACTCCTTGAAAGCCAGACGAGTCTCTCGGGAAATGCTGGGAGAGCCGGATGGAAATCGCGGGAAGGAAGGCGAAGATTCAGCGAGAGACGAGTTTCTCACTGTTAATTCCAAGAGGTGTCCCGTGAGATGGATCTATCTCCCCATTGGAGGACATTGTTCAACTACTGCCTGACTCACTATAGATTGTACATGACCACCCTCTTGAAAGGCCTCAGTGGAAAATTCTCTGCTTTTCCCAACCTGCAAAATTGATCTGTCTTTTAGTTTGTATCCCCCAAGAATGTCTCCACTAAAGGACCCTGTCACAACTTTTTTTAAAAAACAGTAATAATTTTACAGGCTAATTGATTGAATTGATTGAATTACAACAGCTTATACTGAATAAGACAGCGTGGTTTATAAGATATAGATAATTAATGTAATAAAAGTAATTAGTTTATTTTAAAAACAACGACATCCAACAACATTATCAAGGAAGTTAAAGAATGTCTTTATAGGGTATTGAATAAGCAATTATGAAAGATGGTTGGATATATTCAGAGTTATGATAAAAAACTGTATTTTTGTTTCACGAAACTAATATACTTTGCATCAGGGATAATGAGTGTGTGCCACAGTATCTGCAATAACAAAGTCTATTGTTTGCCAAAAAAGAATGACTCACATACTGTAATTTTATCTGGATTAACTGTATTCTGATTAATGTGAAAGCTTAAGCGACTTGGTGTCTGTTTCTGCATTTATGTGCTGAGTAATTTTCTGTTGGCTTTTCTAATTCTCTTTTCAAACACAGAAACTGTCGTTATTTCTAAACGCGAGATCTAACTAGCTAGGGCTACACAACACCACTGAATGCTTTTTTCCCCTCATCTGGATAAGAATAGTAATAAACAAATTGTCAGGGATGGCAAATAGAGAATGGGAAGGATGAGAAACAGTTACTGGTTTGAAATGGAGGAGAGTGTTGCATTGTTTGTGTCATGATATTTGAATATGCTGCAGCATGAATAGTCTAAAAAGTGTGTGTATGTATATATCTAGAAGGGTATGTGCATCTGTTAAGTGAGGGACAGTAAAAGAGAAGCATAATGTAGGGGGGGGGGGGTTCTTACTGCCACAGTGTGTTTGAAAAGAGGGCAACCGTCTGCCCAGCCCTCACACGAAGCACGGGGTCAGGTGAGCAGACAGACGCGAGAAATCGAGAGTGATAACGCAGCGTGGCGTGTGAGGCACACAGGAAGTGAAAGCGACGAGCGCTGAATGTTGCCACATCCTGCCTCTCCAGAGTAGCCCCTCCCTCTGGTCGCCCCTCCCCCACCCCCCAGTACCTCCACCCTGTCCTCTGCCTCACGCTCACTCCATGGCACCACATCACTCAAGGGGTTGTGTCCAAAAGCCTCTCGCCTCCCCTGATGTTCCCACTAGGGTCCTCATGTTGTACCCTTGGGAAAGTCCTTAGTGCTGGACTTCTTTTAGCAGATATCAGATACTGGACTCCTCCAATGGGTTAAAGTTAGGCACTGTGAGCTACATAAGTCTGCTTGGATAAGAGCCAACGCCTGGAAAATGATTATGAATATATATAAAATTTATGCTGTCGTTATTCAGCTTCTCTTCGAGGCGGGCTGGAGCACCGCCTCCGTCCGGACTCGCAAAGCTAACAGTGAGACCATGCTTGGCTACAGGCCAGAAAGAACAGTTGATGGTGAGATTTTGGGGGAGGGGGAGTCCAGGGTCCAGCGCCAGAGGTTGTGGAGTACGTTCCTCCCTTCCTCCCGGCAGCCCCCGCCCAGGCTGGGGACAGGCTTGGCTCCGGATCAGCCTGCCAGCCAGTACCATCGCCCCAGCTCCCAGCGAAGGAGCAGGATTACAGGCCTCCGTCGCTGCAGTTGCAACAACAAAAAAATCGAAGCCTGGTTTGCATCAAGCTGGACATGCAGTTTGACGTGATGGCAACTTCTTATCACTTCATGCCAGGGGGTGCAAAACAGCTCAATCCTGGGGGGCTAGCTCCGATATTTAAAGTTTTAAATGGAAACTCATTCTTGTCTCTGCTGCAAAAAAAATGCCATTGGGCCCCATCCTCAATCATTGCCCTGCAATCCTCTCGTCTCTGTGTAATACCACCATCAACACCAGTCCACCCACTGCTGTATAACTCTGCCCCCCCCACAGCTTTTCAGATATACCTGCCACGTTCAGTCGAGTTCAGTCAAGTCAGAGTGGAGCATAAACATGTATCCTTAGTCCCTACAGACAGACAGACTGAGTCTACACAGTCCAGCATGCACATTGCCACACGGCAAGATAAACACGGACACACACATCAACACACACGCGGAGATAAACATGCACATATTGCCAAACCCAAACACACATCAACACAAAGAAAAACACACGCACACACATGTGCATCTGTGTAGGCCTTGGGGGACTTAAGCCCATTACTTAAGTAACTCAGCTCAGCGCACTAACAATCTCTCAGATCGCTGTTGCACACCCCCCCCCCCCTTTGTTCCCTGAAACTGAAAACAGCTGCTCCTCCTACAGATGTTGTAAGTCACTCGCTCAGTGGAAATTTAAAAGGCATTAACTAAACCCCCACTGCCACCCCACCCCCTGATCTGGGAATTTGCTTGTGTGTGTGTGTGTGTGTGTGCGTGTGTATTATATTTATATTACATTGTGGGGACAAAGGACCACTACAATGTAATAAAAACCTGTTTTTTTCAATGTGGTGAGGACCATTTTTCAGGTCCCCACAAAGATCTGTGAATACAATCAAAAAACTAAAAATGCCAAAAGTCTCATATTTTGTTTGGTTACTCATGGTTAAGGTTAGTGCTGGGTAGTGGTTAAGGTGGTCATGTTGGGATTGGAGTTTTCCCCAGAGAAATAAATGGAGAGTCCCCACAAAGATATAATTACAATCCTGTGTTTGTGTGTGTGTTTGTGTGTGCGTGTGTTTGTAATTGTTACTTTGTGGGAACCAGATTTCCCCAAAATGTGATTAAAAACCTGGAACTTTTTACCTTGTGGGAAGATGTTTCCAGTCCCCACAAGGATAAACCTCAATTTTCAAAGAAATCTGTGAATGCAATCAAAATACTAAGAACGCTAAACTAAAAAGGGGTTAAGATTGTCATTGTTGGGATTAGGGTTCTGCCCTTAGAAATCAATGGACAGTCCCCACAAAGATATGAATACAGGTCTGTGTGTGTGTGTGTGCGTGTGTGTGTGTGTGTGTGTGCGTGTATGTGCGTGTGTGTGTGTGTGTGTGTGTGCGTGTGTGTGTGTGTGTGTGTGTGTGTGCATGCTGTAAAACCGTTCCAGGGATCAGGTTCTCCCAGAATCAGCGGCTTTCTCACTGGCCCGGCATTGACAGGATGTGTCTGCATGCATTGCTGTGTGCAACTGTGCTCAGGTCTGTGTGCAGGCGTGTGCCTCTCCCACACTTGTCAGTATGTGGCGCTGCTCTATGCCGCCATTACGGCGGCGGGTCACGCCAGTCTCTCAGTGGGAGGAGGCTGCAGTTAAAGTCTGACGGAGGTACTGCTTGACTGGCGCGCATGGGGTGGGGGGGCAAGTCCCAAGGAGCCTTGTTCCCTTCATCCTGGGCCAGCTCCAGGGAGACAGGCATGCGCGCGGCAGTGAGAGACTCCGCTAGCTAACGTGTGAGCACTCTCCTCTCCTCCGCTCTCCTCTCCTCTCCGCCCCGGCCTCCAGTACTCTCACTCCTCGTTCTCCATCCCCCTGCTTCTTAATATCTCTGGTGGAGATCTCTCATTTCCTGCTGGGAGATGTCGATTTCATAGTCCGGCTGTGGTTTCTGAGGAGGGTCTTCTGTAACAAAGGTTTATTTATGTTCTCTTTCCTCATGTGCTCTGTGTTCTGGAGGTATTATGAGGTAAGAATGGGCCAATCAGTGTGACAGCATGACGGCTTGTGTGTGTGTGTGTGTGTCTGTGTGTGTGTGTGTGTGTGAGCGGGTGTACCTATCCTTATGGGGACATAAAATGTCCCCATAACGTGATAAATATCCGTTTTTTTCCCTTATGGGAACCGGTTTCCTGGTCCCCATAAGGGAAAACTCTATTTTAGAAAAATCGGTGACTGTTATGAAAAAACTAAAAATGCAAAAACTCTTGTATTTTGTTTGGTTACTTATGGTTATGGTTAGGGCAGGGTAGGGGTTAAGGTTGTCATTTTTAGCGTTAGCATTTTTCCCATTGAAATGAATGAGCGGTCCCCATAAGGATATGTTTACCCTACATGTGTGTGTGTGTGTGTGTGTGTGTGTGTGTGTGAGCATGACACCTTTCCTTCAAGTGAAAAAACTCACATGAAATGTGCTTTAATCTTTCGGATATGACCTGCAGCAACCAAAAGTAAACTTTGGCAAAGCTACCACTTCATCAAACACACACACATAGTCACACTTTAGCAACACCCTGAAATTAAATAGTTAAGACCTCAAGTTCACTCTGCCTTCTCCCATTTTGAAATCGTATGGGTGGGTAACATCACCAAAGGACACCTCAATTACTCAACATGACTGACCACAGACCTGGGCCTTCACATTTTGTGATAGTAGCATAATCATGCAGATGGTGCAAATCTTCAACTGCTGACATAAGTAGATTATAATCAATTTTATCAGAAAATACTGTTAGTTGTGATCTTGGCAACTGAAATGCAGTTGTCAAAACAGGCCCCAAAAATGTAAAGAAACATGCAATTAAATAGTTTTTATTCTTTGGGAATTAATGGATAAAATGCACAGAAGTTTTTTATGGAAGTTTTTGTTTAAGCTACAAATACACACCAAGGACAGTAACTTGCATCAGGAGAAATGGAGTGAA